GAGTTCGATCTATGACTTAAAAATTTTCTATTAGATAATTTTTTATAGTTTAGACTCTTGAGAACGATCTCGATAAACTTTTTTTTTTTTGTGAGAATATTATGTTTATTGCAATTATAACATTATTTTTTTTTTAATAATAGAAAAGTAAATATTGTTGATACAATGTTTAAAATGCTTGAACAATATTCAAATAATTTGGAAGATTTAATTCGTGAACGAACAACACAACTTGAAGAAGAAAAGAAAAAAACTGACAAACTTTTATCACAAATGTTACCACCGTAAGAAATTCTTTTTTTGTTTTAATTATACAATCGAAAAACATATATATATTTTTTGTTTATTCAGGAGTGTTGCTGATAGTTTAAAATCTGGTAAAGCAGTTGAAGCTGTATGGTATGAATGTGTAACAATTTATTTTTCTGATATTGTTGGATTTACGACAATATCAGCATTAAGTAGTCCAATGGAAGTTGTTGATTTATTAAATGATTTATATACAATGTTTGATTCAATTCTTGAAGATTTTGATTGTTATAAGGTTTAATATATATATATTTATATTATCTATTAAAGTTATTCTATGATTTTTTATTTTCTTATATTCAAATAATATTTAGGTTGAAACAATCGGTGATGCATATATGGTAGTTAGTGGTCTTCCAATTCAAAATGGAACAAAACATGCATCAGAAATAGCTACGATGGCATTAACACTTTTACATGCATGTGGTAAATTTAAAATACGTCATATGCCTGGTGTACCATTACGATTACGTATTGGTCTACATTCTGGTGCATGTGTTGCTGGTGTTGTTGGTCTTAAAATGCCTCGATATGTAAAAAAATTTTTTCTATTAATTAAATCAAACTATATATGTACTTGTTTTTTTTTTGATAGTGTTTATTTGGTGATACAGTTAATACAGCATCACGAATGGAATCGACAAGCATGGGTATTGAAAAAAAAATTAGCAAATGTTTTGTTTTAAATATGAAGATTAATTTTGTCTTTTTTTTTTTCTTAGCTTTTCGAATTCATACAAGCGAAACAACTGCTGGTTTATTAGAAGCAATTGGTGGATTTCATTTAGAATATCGTGGTATTACAGAAATTAAAGTAAATATTTTCAAAGAAATTTTTGTTGAAATAAATTCAATTTAATATTGTAGGGTCGAGGTAATTATAAAACTTATTGGCTTTGTGGGAGTGATGGTTTTGATAAAGAATTACCACAACCAGTTATTTCTGAAAATAATCATGGGTATAGAAGAAAACAATTTTGAATAGAAGATAAAGAAAAAAAAAATTTTTTTTCTTTCTCTTTAGTCTTGACCAAGAACTTGTTCGATTAGTTGAAGAAAGAAGAGCACAAGAATTAGAAGCTGCTAAAAATAAAGCAATAAATAATGAAATTCAAGTGAAACCTATTATTGAAGCAATGTCCGAAAAAAAATCTGTATCATCAGCAGTACCTGCAATTTCCTCTTCGACTAAAATGCATAATCATAAGAAAACAGATGATTTATTAAGGTGAAAGAAAAAAAAAACATTGTCAAAGAAAACTTTTATCATTCTAGATTTACACCACCACCATCTAATCAACAAACACTATTTACATCAAATTCAAAAGCTCAAAATATGACTTCAACTGAACTTCCATCAAAATTACAACAACATATGAATGGACCTAATGGTCCTGTACGAAAGTCAACGAAAGTAAAATGGTGATTTACATAAAATGATTCTTTTAAATGTGTTAATCTATTCATATATCCATTTAATTGTTGTTTATTTTTCTATTTAAATCTCCAAATGTATATATACATACATAGAGCAATATTTGTACATTTCGACCAATCGTCTTTAAGATTTTCGTAACATACAACTGTTTGCAAAATGAACATGAACATCTCATACATATATATATATATATATTTTTTTTTTTGAATGATTTAATAAAGTTTTTAATATTATGTTTCACGGTGAATTATATAAAATTTTGAATAGACATAATAATTAAACTTATACCAAGCAAGTCTCTATGATATCAGATTTGAATAGGAAACAGTATTCATATTGGTGGATAAGTTAATGTTCGGATGATTCTTAATAAGATTATCTTGTTTTCTTTCTATAAATAATAATTCATTACTCGATCGAAAACTTCAAAAAAGAAAGATCTAGTAAAATGCTTTATTCTATAGATCTTCATAAAAATATCATTATTGTAGAAATCTAATTTAGTTAAACTTTTCTCATATTTGATAAATCATAATATATCGTATTAAAACTCTCTTTCTACTCTATATAAGATAATGCATTGGTTTTTTATTAGTTATTATTTACTGCTAATATACTGCGGTACCCATAAGAACCGGCGATAGCTCTTACGACTTTCGATTGCAGAGATTGTTTTCTACTCCGATGTCAATCACATAACTGGAGCTAATTTATACCTTGTATCTAGTACAAGTGGTTCAATCGCATGAACTTTACCATAATTCACTTAAAATAATTCAATTCTGTCAGCTTCAGCAAACTTCAAAAATAATTACCAGTTTTAATACAAAATATCATAATACTACACGTTTAAAAATCAAAGATTGTCGATAGTTTCCTGATAGTTATCACATAGATTATTGCTTTCTTGACACAAACCCTACCATTAGATGAAAGAAAGAAACATAATTATTATCATCATTGTCACAATAACGCATGGATTTCTCTTAATAACGTAGGACGCTGATACTCCATAACCCATAATTTCTTAGTTATATCAGTAATTCAGATAATGATACCTTTTTTTTAGCTCATTTCAATATAGATGAATAGATCCTCACTATGTGATTTAATTTGAGGTTTCCAGTTATTCAAAAAAATGATAAATATCAATTATTTTGCATCGCTTCTTTCTTAGTCACGATGACATTCTTTTTTCCCTACAATCAGAAAAAAAAACATGGAAGAGAGTCAAAAAGATGTATCATTCAAATACAACAATCATCATTTCATATAATTATTTCTTAAGGTAATTTTTCGCCTGTCATAAAAGATAAAGAATTAAATAAGTAACATAATTGAACATTAGAGAAAAAAAATATAGTCAAGAAACATAAACTTGTTCGTTTATTCAAATTATTTTAGAATCAAGAAGAAGAATTTTTTTGTTTTTCTTATGATCGTATTAGAAACTCGATCGTCATTGATTACATACATGTTTACATCTTTTATTTTTCTAACAAGATGGAACAGATTAAAAGAATAATAAAAAAGTTAATATGTTCCTCAATACTTTTGATTTCTTATAAAAATTGATTTCCCAATAGAAACATTCTTGTAAATATAAATATTCAGAAAGAAAAGCAAGATATTCGTATTACAATAAATATAAGTAAATGAACAAATATATGATTAACTAAACGGATTTTTTAGTTTATTTTTTTTTGTTTTTTTCATATCTTTAGAGTATTCAAAGATGCACAGACATTTATGATTCAGATTTACAGAGTAGCATCTAAGATATTATACAAAAGAAATCCCATTGATAGTCTAATAATGCTATACTAATAAATATATAGTTAATAAAAACGATTCCAATTTATTTTTTCTGGAAAAATTTTTAAATAGAATTCGTTCGACAGAAGAAAATTGAATATTTGATTTCTTTTTCTTATATGAATAGTACGTTATAAAAACAGAACAGCAAAACTGATTCACAGTTAGTAACTGTTATTTTTCCCAGACCTAATTAAAACAAGGTTATTAACTTAATCCGTATGAGACTAAAATGTGAAGCTCACTTATTTCATATAAGCTAAGAGATAATTTGGTAGAAATACGTTCTTATGTAATGAAATATTATTGAAAGATTAGAGTAGAACATCCATTTCTAGTACATATATATCTGTTATTGAAGGAGAAGAAAGCTTGAGGCAAAAGAAATGTAGTAACCTTTTATATTGCATGATAGTCTTCAGTGAAAGTTATCCATGGCTGAAAGACGAGGTAATGTTCAACAAAATTTGCCCTTACATATGTTCTATGTGAGTCTTACAAAAGAGTAAAAGTTAAGTTTTATAAACTCTTTTTTTAAAGTCTATCAGTATAACATTTTCTTTCTATTCATATAAATTGAATGCAACTTCTTGTTTGATAATAGTTTTGATGTTGTTTTTTTAAGTATATCCTTCATTCGAACAGAGTATGAAATTCTCTACAATCCTGCATATGTACATTTTAAATTGTATTTGTTTCGTAAAATAAAAATTCAAACACAATCAGATTCTTCGAAAATGTCTTATTTGTTTCTTTTTTTCAAAATTATTTTCACATAGAAATAGACTCTTATTCTGAACGTGCATGATCTTTTCTATCATGCTGTACTTTTGTCAGTCTATGAATTTCAATTATTTAATGCGAAATATTTCAAATATTGTTAAGGTACTCACATAGTACATTTCTAGATCAAGCTTTATTGAGAATTTTAATATTATCTATGTGCACAGGGTTTAATCTAAGAGAAAATAAAAACGTTGAATAAGATTAAGATTAGAATTAAGCATGTGAATAATTATTCATACATCTTATTTGATTACTAGATAACGATTCGTGAAGTTCGTATATAAGTTATGCCGAGTAGTCAAGAAAGTATGAATGTAAGAAAGATTTTCATGCGATTTCAGAAGATATTTTTAGTATTGTAATCACCTGCTTTTATGTTAAAATAAATTTGAAAAAAAAGATATTTTCGAAGAATTTGATTGTACTTACATTTCTATTTTACCGAACAAATACAATTCAAATTTACATATACGAGATTGCAGAGAATTCTGCGCGCTATCCGAATACATAAACGACTAATATGGTGAAGACAAAAAAAAATGGAACTGAAACATTCTCTGTATTTAGATAGAATTGTATAAATAATAATTTCTTATTTAATAGAATTAGTTTTACTTTATCACATTAATTAATATTGAAATATTTAGATAAGATGGTTTTAATAGTTGTTTTATATTTGACAAGTATAATATCAATACAATCAAGTAAGACTAATGAAAATTTTGTTACTGTAATTTCTATTTATAAAATAATATATAGAAACTTATCGAATTTCTCATACAATTTCAAGCAATTTTTTACAATCTCATATAACTTTTCCAATGAAATATGAAGAATCAAGAGAAACTATTGAAACAAGACGTGAAGTAAATAATATTTGAAAATAATGCTATATGTAATTAAAATTTTCTATAGTTATGTCTTGATGAATATCGACAACAAGAAAGATCATATAAATGGCGTTATCGTTTATCTCCAGATTGTGCACAATATTGTACAATAACAAAGGATTGTCAAAAACGTGAAGGTTAAATTTTAATTCAATAAAAATTTCTTTATATTTTTATGAATGTATTTAGAATCATCTGCCTGTGTTAATCCATTATGGCCATTACGTACTATAAAATATGTACAAAAATATAAACGTATTTGTTATATTCGAATTACAGAAATTTTACAATATGAACAAGCTGAACAAATCTGTCATAGATATGGTCTTCAATTAGCTATTATTGATAATATTCAATTACTTGAAAGATTAAAACAATTAAATATGTGTAAGATAAAATAAATGTTTTTGTGTCATTGTTTAGTTTTAAATTTGATTTTATGAATTTTTAGTTAATATAACATGTAAAGGACAATGTCCAAAAACAAGAGGATATTATATTGGATTAAAACGATTGTTGAATAGTAAAAATCAATCAGAATCAAAATGGATATGGTCTAATAATGTAACATGGACACAGAATGACATAGATGTAAGTCTAAAAAAACAAATTTAGTTTTTAGATCAGATAGTATAGGTTTCGAAATATAGGCAGCGGAATATTTATGTTGCTGAAAGATGAGATATGAATTTTTTTTAATATTAAATTGACTGAATATAATCATGAATAATTATAGATTGTAACAACATGATTCATTGGATTTGCTAAGTAACTGTTTGTACTTTCTAATTGTTTATTATTATTATCTTACATAAATCATTGGCTAATTCTTAAAAATTTCTTGAGTCATATTATCGTAGCATGAAAAGACTTGATATGTTTTCTCTTTTGTCTTTTCTTGAGTAATACATCTGGTATTAGATTCACTAATCTTTCGTTTATTTATGTCGTTTTGGTATGTATAGCATTAGAAGAGAGAACGTTAGGTTGGTCTCAAACAGTGAAAATGTTCTATATTGATTATTTATTGTAGTGTGATGATTATTCTAATACATCTTATGTCAATACAAATCTTTTATGTTATATTGGAAATGATGGACAAAAAGTTTGTCTTTATGTTTTCAAATAAGTTAAATAATAACTTTTTTCTTCTTTATTTCTAAAAAAAAAAAAAGAAAGTCACCATTTGGAATAAAAACGAACCAAATAATTATGAAAGTGATTATTATCAAGTTGGTGAACAATGCGTAGAAATCGTTGTTTATACAGATAAAAAATCATTATTAGAACAAATCGGTAAATTAAATGATATTCCTTGTACTAAACCAACACTTGGTGCTATATGTCAAATGAAAGGTTGATATTGATTTCTCTATATAGACGAATATGAATAATTCTTTTTTTTGATAGATATTAAACCGTTTAATTTTACACGTTTTGAATCATTTGCAAAGATAATTGATTTTAATAAAACTGAAATAAGTGATAAAAATTTATTATTTACTTTTAAAAATATTATTTCAGCAAATTTAAATATGATAACAGTAATGACTGAAATACTTGAAGATTTACTTGATTTATCTTTATTTACAATGAAACAAACAATAGATATATTAAATATTTTTGATCAACTTATTAATATTACTGGACAAATTGAAGTAGAAAATGATTCACTTAAACTAGTGACAAATAAGTATTGAATTATTATATTTGTATTATCTATTAATTTTGTTTTAATAGATTACTTCAATTTCTTGATCTATTTCCGGCTAAAATTCAAATTGAAAATAAACAAAATCTTTCATTTCAATATGAAAATATTCATATAACAATATTAGATATTAATTTTGAAAATGAAAGTAATCAATGGTTTCGAATAAATACTGATAATTATCAAGAAAATATAAATAAACATTCAAATATAATTATTGAAATTAATATACAAGCTTTACAAACAAAATTAATTAAATCAAATAATTATCGTATTATTGAAATAATTTTTGCAAATTTTAATCTATTTCCACAAATTAATATGACTAATATTGGTATACCTATATCTTATCAAATAGCAAATTTAACAACAATTAAAACAAATGAAGATTTAATAAGATTTCAAATACAAGTGTCAGATGTAGGTTATATTTTTAGTTTTATTTTAGCTTTAAGATATTTATTTATTTATTTATTATAGTCATTACAATCATATAACCTTTCTTGTGTTTATTGGTCATTTGATAAAAATAATGGATCATGGATAACTGATAATGGATGTCGTTTTGTTGGATATGTCAATAATTATGCTCAATGTTATTGCAATCATTTGACTCATTTTGCTTTACTTATGGTAAGTTTAGTAAAACAATAATAATATGGAAAACTGTCAATATATATCAGCAATGTAAAAAAAAAACATATACTTTTACGGTAGCTATATCTTAGGATACGAACAACAAATAGATTTGAAACTATCAAAAATAAAAATGTAACGTCTTGATAACAATATAATATAATAGCTCATTAGGATCTACATGATGCTTATAATCGTTCTGACTCAAAAGTGACTTGATGCTTAGAAATATTTTCTCGTAAGGAAACTTTTAAAATAAGTATCGAAAAATTTTCAATCGAATGCCATTGGTTGACATCTTGATTCTTACTAAGTTTGGACCGGTACTCTATTACAAGAAAGTTAAATTTTTCATCGTCTTAGCAATAAAAGTTATCTTTTAAAATCTTTTCTCTATATGCGTTATGCTCTCGAATTTTATATGCAATGCAATACATATGATTCAATTAGTAATCAGTTTTCTGATGTTAAATCGATTCTCCTAGAAACTTTCTGTTTTTTCTTATGTACAACAAGTTTATTTCATTTTAATTCATTACTTGTTTTTAGATATCTGAACCAGAACAAACTCTTGAACTTCTATCAACCGTTGAAGAATTTGTTTTAACATTTGTAACATATATTGGTATTTGCTTATCAATATTTGGTCTTATTATAACATTAATTACTTATGTATTTTTTCGGTAAAATGCAATATAAAATGTTAATCTAATTTAATTTTAAATTCTTTCATGTTTTTATTTTTTTCTTTATCTATTAGTTATTCATCAAGACATCGTTCTCATATATCTTTAATAATGCTTTGTTTATCAATTTTATTCGTTAATTGTCTTTATATTCCATTTAGTCTTACTCAATCAAATTTATCAAAAATAAAACGACATATATCATGTACTATACTTGGTTTTTTATTTCATTATTTTTTTATAGCATCATTTATGTGGATGTTAATTATGGCTATTGTTCAATATATACATTTTGTTCGAATATTTAATGCACATATTTCACATTTTTTTATTAAATCATGTATAATTGGATGGATTATACCACTTATATTTCCATGTCTTGTTATTTTCTTTGGTTCAAATGGTGGTTATACTATAGAACATCGATGTTGGATTAATCATCAAATACTTTTATATTCTACGTTTCTTGTACCTATTTCTATTATTGTTATATGTAATTTAATTATTTTTGGATTTATTCTAAGAAGTATATTTCATCATAATATTATATTAGTTAAAGATAAAAAGAAATATTCAAAATTTCAATTAGGTGCAACTCTTTGTTGTTTTGTTTCGATTGGTAAGTAACGAATGATTGAAAAGTGTTTTTTTCAGACAAGATATTTATTTAAACGATTAATTTCGATAGTTTTTCGCATACTCGAAAAAGGACTTTATACGGTAAACAAAATCCTGTTGGTTCACACTTAAAAATAATTTTTCAGAGTTTTTGAAAAACTTCTTCAAATACTCTTGAACAAGATCCTAATGAAATGTTTTCGATCACCTGCTAATAAAAAACAAAAAAAAGAAAAACTCATGAAAAGCTTTTTTTTGACTCAATTAATTAATTAATTTTGTTTTTTTTTTGTTTATTCTATTTATTTTTAGGATGTACTTGGTTTTTTGGTATTCTTGTATTTATTGATCCGAGTTTTATTCATCAATTAATTTTTTGTATATGTAATTCGTTTCAAGGCTTTCTTATATTTCTTTTTCATGTCTATTTATCAAAACCAAAACGAGCATTATGGCAAACATTTTTTATTGAACGTGGTTTTCATCAACGTTCTCATACATCTCACGATGATAAAGATCTTAGGACAATCAGTCATTCAACTAGTAGAAATACTAGTGGAATAACACGTTCTGATAAATTTTGCTTTAGTCAAACATCAACATCATTAAGTATTGATCAACAAGTATCATTAACTCAAAATAATTCTAAAAGAAATGAAGTATTAAATGCAGAACAGTTACAATTAAATGGTTTATCAAATGTAACTATTCATACATAAGAAACAAACTAAACTTCAGTGACAATACAAAAAGAAAGACTAAAATAAAATTAAATAATTCGTATATTAAATTATAATCTATATTCAATTAATGCACTGAACATTTTTATTGCTATTTTTAAATATAATAATAAATTATGAAAGTTATTCTTGTTCTATCAAAATTATAAACGCATGCATAGAATCTTCTTCCAAGTATAAATCAATTAAGCAGTATTGTTGCAATT